ATACGATTGACCAGGAAGAGAAACGTGCCGTCACGTTCGCATATGTGGCATGAGAAAAAGGATCGTCATTCGAGGCTACTTTAAAGTGCAAACAACGTGCCTTACTCGAATTCACAAGATAATCACAGATTTTGCGGAAAACTTGGTGAATATCGCCTTCGCTGCAAAGTCAATGTAAAGCTGGAGAATTTTAATCTGGATGGTGGAATTTCATGATTTCTTTTAATCAAGAAAGTCATCTTTATCTCTGCTCAATCGAATTTTAAATAATTTTTGTTATCTTGTTAATTTTATGATATTACGATTCTTAAACTGCAATATATTAAGATTTCCGTAAGGAAATCGCGTAGAAGATAAGAAATATTAATTCACAAAACCCAGAAGCGTAGGGAATTTGACGACACGATGAAAACGGCAATTCTATGAGCGAAATAGGAATGAGAGATCATTTGGGTCAACAGAAGTGGATCATCGCTGGACGAAGATCTTTTTCTGGACCTCGCCTAGATCTCGAAGTGTTGTATGAGACGCCGGAGAAAGTGATAATCCGATGAATGATGGCGGTCCGCTTTACGTATACGTCAAAGCTGTTCGAAGGGAAGTTCGTGCAGGTCACGGAGTTTATCTTTCATTATCGGTTGACGGTTATCGGTGCGGGTCGTCGTATTAGGTCTTATACAGTTATCGCATGAAACACGAAACTCAGGCGTCGCGTTTGAGAGTTCTATTAATCGAACATCATGCTATACTCAACTTTTAATTGCTACGATTAGATTAGTTTTTTCTCTTATCGAAGCACTCACACTCTATTCTTGTTTGATTTCTTTTTTTTCTATTCTTCTTAGCTGATCTTCAATTCATAAAAATGTTTCATTAGATTAACGAGTTAGTCTTATCATAATTAAGAAAATGATGTACGCGTTCCCTTGAACTAGTTTTATTGTATGCACTAGTTATCTGCATGCCTAATGATTTTTGTGAGTCTAGTAAATAATTTTTCATGCCGAGACCGATAACTTCTGCTTGTATACGCAACAGACGATACTTAAAATAATTTGTGAAAAAATTTTAATGGAATGTAAAAATAAATTTTTTTTCCTCATTAAAGAACTTTCTCCTTTTAATTAATCATAATGGGATTTTCGTTATCGGATTGCATTAATCGCTCTGAAGTGAAGTAATTTCTACGAAAATATTTCGACAATTATCTCGTCGATAGGCGGGCAACGTTCTGAAAATTATCCCGCCGCGTATTTCGCGCGCCGCTCTTGGGGTTGTCAGCATCCCGAGTCGAGGGGAGCATTACCTGGAAAACCGAAGTGCGGGAGTACTCTCTCTCATCTCGGATCCACGCCCAAACATCCCCTAAGCTATTCCGCGCGTCGCGTTCGATACGGCGCGGAGATCCCCCCTCCGCGTCGCATCTCTCGCATCCTCCCGGCCTCCATTCTCCCGCCTCTGTCTCTTCTTCACCCCGTTACTCCGAGCCTCTTCTATCGACGTCGCGTCGCCTATCTCAATGAGAGAGAGAGAGAGAGAGAGAGAGGAGAGGCGATCGATTTGCGTCGACGTACTACTATGGCCTGCTTACGCGGAGAGCACTGACCCCCAAGGTCGTTCTTACGCGGCTGCACGGAGAGAGAGAGAGAGAGAGAGAGGGACAACGGGATCTGATAGCGAGCGGGGACGTGGAGAAACTTTTAGCGGAGTCAGGTGAACCTCTCGAGCGGGCTGCATCTCGTAATGCCGTGCTGCGTTTTCCTTGATGGAACGACTAATTTTTATGTAACGTTACAACCGCGTGCACGTTGCTCCGCACAGACGAAGACCGAGACGGAGAACACGCAGTCGATAAATGAAAATGATTCCACGTCCTTCGCAATTTGCGAAACGAATTATCGTCATGATACAGTGGAGGCATGGTAATTAGATATCATTAGGTGATCTTTGCCTCGTAGATTGCCGGAAGGAATCGGCTTCGTGGCGAACTAAGGCGTTCGCTCCTGCCGCTAGTTATCTATCACATTTCCTCGCGAGATCCTCAATTAGTACTTTAACGTTTTATTGCGGGGAGGAGTCGGTCGGCCGATTATCAGTTAATGAATTAGTCGTTATGTGCAACGTAACCGGCGTTAGATCGTTATTTCATCATGCGGACTGCGTTCATTTCGTAATCGCGATATCCTTGCCGTGTGTGCGTGCGTCACGACGCTCACGTCGGCACGACGGTACGCCTTTAAATGTCTCGGCACGGATGCCAATGCCGTAATTCTGCTGCGCCTAGAGTCGTCGCGCGATTATCAGCATATATTCTAACGCTCAATTGCAAACGCGACGTCGGCTACTTCCGCGTTCCTGCCGCACACGCGACTCACGCTACACGCTGCTCGAGTTTTGCTCTCCTCATGTGCTTGCAACACGTCACGCACATCACTGTGCTAATTAAATATGACCGCAGACATCGCGGAACATCGTCGAAAAATTCGAGGCACTCCCTCGGCCGAGATTTGCCGATATTTGCATAATGATGTCAATGGTTACAAAGAGAAAGAGAGGAGTTTCTTCTACTTGACTTTAATAAACAAACTTGAGAGAGATAAATTGCGTTATATAATGTGTATAAAAAAAAAGAAGAAGTACTGAACGATCTCTTATATAAGCAATTCTCAAAAGAAAAAAAAAAAAGTCAAAATTATTTTTAATATTTTGATAGCGATTACTTCCTTCAACTGTTATCGAAACATTTATCTCTTGAGTGATCTTCTTAGGGATACACCAAGTGATTATCAAATGCTTATTCGAAGTCCGGTTACGGGGAGGAATTGGATCGCGAATGTCGTAGCGCCGGGACAGAGGCGCGTGCGAGTAAATCAAAGCCTAGTGATTTAGTCGCTATTTTTAGGCGTTTCGCGCCTTTTCCACCGCGAGCGACGAGCGTCCTGGCGTCGCGCCAGATTCGGCGAGATTCATATGTCTGAATGCATCAGGCACGTGGAAGGCAGCAGCGCCTTGACGCGAGGCTGCCTTCGTGCACGTGCATAGGTGCGCGTGCGAGCTTGACAGGCGTCTCGCCTTTTCTTCCTCGTGCCTCGAGTGTCTCCTTCCGCTTGTCCTCGTTTATGAGCTCGGGCTGAAATGTTACGGCACCTATGGAGCGGTGCCAAAAAGGGCATGCACGCTGGAAGATGGAAACTCTAAATGAACAGTGCTAATTAAATTCTTTTCTGAATGACACAGTTTTAACGCGCGGATTTCTGCGATACCTGCGGTACTCGCGAGAGTGCAATCGTCCGTGACCCGGATGGCTTCGACAAGCAATAAAAAAACGAATTCTTAAATTAAAAAGAAATAATAAAAAAGCCAATTTAATATGACACTTTAGTGAACGCTTTAATATATTATTTAAAGTAATAAGTATATTCTGAAAGCTGCCAAAGTTGTCTGTCGAATTCCCGTTATTACACCATAAATGCGAAAGACATATGAGACTGCGGGGCGTCCTTGCGTGCGTACGACGATCTTGTGGTCACGAAGGACATAAGATTGTGGCATAAAATTACAGATAAGACTTGGCAAGGAAGGGCTTCTCGATGAGTTCATTAGCCGAAAAAATTATGAAGCACTCGTCGCCGGCATTTTTTTCTCGTAAGTTTTTGACTGGGAAAGAAGAAAAAAATTGCTACTGATGTTCGCGAAATTTATCAAATTTCGGATTTTAGAAACTAAAGGAACGGATTAATTTTCGACGCGCGACAATCGCGACGCGAGAAGCATACAGAAACATTGAGTAAATAATAAATTAATAACGGCCTATTGCGCTTTATTACGTATGAATCATCTCGAATGCCAAACGAGAGAATTGACTCAATAAAGATAAGATAAAGTGGTCGGCAAATACGAAATGATCGCGCATTTCGATGGAATTATACTACAACAATTCAGAGACGCGAACGGGTTAGGGGGGAGAGAGAGAGAGAGAGAGAAGGGAGAGGGAGGCGATCTCTCTTACGCATGTGAATGCGACATCGCCGAATGCGAATCGTATTACGGAAGTGTCTTTGTCGCGAGAATCGCGGTCGCATCTGCACGAAGAATCCGGACCAACCGGATTTCCATCGATTGTGCCAGGCGCCGCGAATGGCATAATTTGCAGAAACGCCTACGGTTTCGTGTATATCATCTAGAACGCCTCCGTGACCACATGGTCTCGGAAAAAGATTCACTGTCAAAGGCTCTCAATTATCGCGTTTATGATTTATATTATTCGGAACGTTATTTTAAATAAGTTTTTTTTTTTGAAAGGCAATACTTCCGTATTTTTTATCTATTTTTTTATTCTTATCTATTTTTTTTAATATAATTCAATGTCTTATATATGTTTTTATAATTATTTTTAATTATTTAAATTATTATTCTTATCTATATTTATTAATTATTAACTGATTATTTGTACATGCTACTACAATTTTCATATATATAGATTCCGAGCTATTATTTTAATACTTATAATACGACATTTATTCTATAATTACTCGACCACAAGCAGGAATTTTGATAAGTATTATCACACATCCGCCAATAATTTTGGCGAAATTTCAATATAAAAAAAAAACCGCTCGCTTACGTTACATGTCGATTATATAATTTTTATTCATCTTTCAGGATGACAATTTGTATTAATACACTTTGTGGAAGCGTTAGTACCAATTTATCGTCAGATTTTCTTTTTTTATAGAAAATTTTACACTTTTGGTTATGGTAACTTTCAAGTTAAAGATATGTTGTTGCATTTTGATGACGGAGGAATATGTTTACCGCGTTGCACGAATTACATTACTAATAGTATTATGCATTTAATGCTATTAAGTTTGTTTACTCTACCACGCAAGCATGGCATTTTTACGTTTGTGTTATTTGCATGATATATATCATCCGTAATATAATACACTTTCATAATTGTATTGGTAATCTAACAAACGAATCCGTCAATTCTGTTACAGAAGAGGAGATCGATGTGATATCTCCATCCAGGATATGCGAAAGACAAACGATCATTCATCAGATGCAAAGAGACGCCAGTGTGCTCGCGAATGCACCGATTTCACGCCGAGGTCGTGGTAGACCACCAGGTCGAAATTCCGTAAAACGTAAGAGAATCACCGGACAAATGTCATCTCTTTCCGTTTCCTCCCCCGTCACTTCTATTTTAAAGCGTGGTCGTCCTCAGAAGAAGACAAAGAGGAGTAGCAAAAATCGTAATGAAAATCAAGAACAGAAGGAAAAAAGAAAATTGCATAACACAATGGAGCGACAACGGCGGATACACTTGAAAAACGAGTTTAATCAGTTAAGAAAACGTGTCCCAATAATTGCGAACAATGAAAAAGCTTCGAAAGTGTCCATTTTGAACAATGCGAGAGACTATATTCTTCAACTGATTAGTACAAGCGTTTCTTTTGATCCCGAGATTGACCAGCTGAAAAAGCGTCAAGAAAGCCTTAAGATAAAAATCCAGGAGCTCATAGAGAAGCAGAACGAAAGACAAGAAGGAAACAATTAAAGATTATAACGAAATTAAACAAAAAATTAAACAAAGAAAATTATTAAAGAAAATACTTTTAGAAACATTGAAGTGACGACACACGACTTTCGATTTCCGCGATGCGTATGTCGACAAATTAGACACATCCATAATAATCAATGGAAACATTGACATGACTTGCAATGAATTTGGCAAAAGAAAGATGCTATAGGGATAGCGATTGACGAAGCACAATAAATCGTGCAAAACCCGTTCTGTTTCGGGAAAGATACTCTCCTGGTCTTCTTCTGAACTAGCTCGATCGAAGATATTTTTTCTGATATCTCGTATTTTTAACAGCGCTCTAATCGACGATTCGCTTTCCGCCTTCCGATGCCGATGCTCTCGTGCGACCTATTGCACCTCGGCATTGGCGAACGCATTTGAATTTCCATCGCACAGATAAAACGAATCGTCCGAGCAGTCGGAGAAGACCTTATCGCGATATTGCCCAACAACCTGACTACCGGTTCCGAACCGGTTCGTCAGTCTTAGGGTGCGCTTCGGTCTCGGACCGGTTCTAATTTACTTTTTACTTATTTATTATATATATATATATATATATATATATATGTGTGTGGTATGTGTAGGAGAGTAAAAAGGAATTCAGAGTTTCACATGTAGGAGCGAGTGACTCGTAATAGACAGGTTCATTCTCAAATTCGATACCTGCTAAGTACGAAAAGTTCACTCCTACATAGAACTCCGTGTCATCCTGATGAAAGATTAAGTGGCCGCTTTCGGGCACGGCCTAGTTAGTAAGAGAGTGACGTGATGAGTCAAGTAGCGTAGGTAGGAATAGTTCGCGCGCGCCTATTGGACATATAAGAACCGTCTATGTGTGGCCCATTTTGTTTTGTTATCATTCTACCAATAAATTATATTAGAAAAATGTACAAAAAATTAAATGCAAATAATCATTGATTCACATACGACTGTAAACAACAAGGAAATTGGTTTTCCGGTTGTTTGATCAGTTGTTTGCAAAATGAGACATTTTATATGCAAAGCGACGCATTGAACACGTTACGCATAGAATTATTATCTTTAGCGACTTTGATTAGAGAGATGTATGAAAATAATTATATTACTAACTATATACTTACCTCTTTCTTTTACTTATATCTCTTTCTATCTTTTTCACTTCTCACATACCTCGCTTGTTGACTATCAGGTTACTTTCTTGATCAGATTCTTGAATATATCTAATTTGTGCCTGTTTTTTTATTTTTGCAACTCAAAATACAATTTTCTCTTTTGCCATATCTTGCAATGAGACTTAATCTTGAATAACTAACAACAAAATGAGAGTCGTTTTATATGCAAAACGACATATCGAATAAGCTACGCATAGAATTATTACCTTTAACGGTTTTAATTACAAACAGAAATAAGAAAATCATTACTAATTTTCTCCTTTTTTTACCTATATCTCTTTCTATCTTCCATCTTTTTTATTTCTTACATACGTCGCTCTTGAATAAATCAATTTATCTTCTTGATTAGATTTCTGTGCGAATATATCTGTACCTATTTTTGCGCGAAATTATTCAATTTTTTCTTTTGCTATGAGATATATCTTGCAATGAGACTTAATTGAATAACTAACATCGTGCTTTCATTTAGGTGCAATAAGATGAAGCAGTTTCAATGTCGCAAATTATTGATCTGTTTCATTTCCTTTCAATTATTAATTCAACGAAAAAAGAAACCGGCGTAACGTGGGGTCGATCGATTTTTTTTTTTATAATGCAACTCGATCCCGCATAAACTTTCATTTTATTGACGCCGACGATTAACTTAATTCATTAATTAATTGTTTTGTCTTGTTCTGTAGAATATCTTCGTTAGACTTTCTCATAATAAGGAATATAGAAAAGATATATTTTAAATATATAAGATTTTCTTTGCAGATACATTCACATATAATTAAATATTTATACATTACACACATATTACAGATGATAGAAATTAATAAATGACACTACCAACGCAAAAAATAATAATTTTATTAATATTATGACTATTACTATTCTAATACTTATTCTCATATCATTGTTATCAGCTTCAGTTTGCAGCATTGTGCTTTTTGCAGCATTGTGCTGCCGGCACTTTTCAAATAAAAATGATTATTACAGTCATATGGCATTATATACAATTGTTTTATATAATTTCAAAGGAGATGCTATATGCAATGATTATATGGTTCATATACACATTTATTCACCTACTAATACACCTAAAGTTTACACACGTACACATACACAGAGTTTATGCTCTACATAATCATGCACGTGAAATGCATATGCGATTGTATTAATAATTTTTATTAATAATATCAGCATATTTTGCATTAATAATCAACGCGTAATAATTATGTATGACATATAGATGGTTGATATGCAAAAGATCGAAGACGCGAAGCAGAGAATGCGTAGTGTCTTTGAAGAGATTTTATATACTATATATATATATATATATAAGAGAAAGAAACGAAAGAAAGACAAATTGATGTG